TGGAATCCGGGGTGGATCGCGGGGGACGGCATCGACACAACAGTCGTGGCAGCCAGGGCCAACACAAAGGATGAGATGATGAAGTGCATGGTCGTGTGAGCAACGTGGGGTCTAATGAGCTGTGATGTCGTCGAGTGAAGAAAGGCGAGGAATGTGTGGTTTGGCTACAGCGATCGGGCAAGCTTATATACATCGCAGGCCTGTCCAGCAAGCACCTGCGCGCGAGAGCTTGGCGAGGCGCGGCGTGTCTCATCACACTTGCGGCCGTTGCGACTGGAAATGTCGCACACATCAGGGTTTCCAAAAGTCTGGCTGTAGACTGACTTTGATGGCGACTCGAACGTTGGAGGACAGCCTGGAGGAGTGCGGTTTCGAGTGCTGAAGCGGCGTTTCAGACGGGGTCGTACAACGGGCGCTAGGCCCACCGCGACTCGTTATCGCGCGCAAGCGCGTGCACAGACACGTCGGCCCCTTCCTCGCGTCGTGCGTGCCCATCGTAAGCCTCCCCTCCCCCCTTCTCTACGTTTCCTACCCGGCCCGCCCGCGTGCTCACATCGCCTTAACCCGTCCCCAGCCCTTCTTCCTGCTGCTCACCTTCGGCTACAAGCTCATCTACCAGACGAAGCTCGTCGCGCTCCACGACATGGACTTCTCGCACGTGAGCGTGGCCGATGACGCTCAGCACGACCCGGATTACGCCTCCCCGCTCGCGCGCGCGCGCTGGGCTGGCTGCTCGTCAGCTGGAGCACCCGACTGCCCCCGCCCGCCCGGGGACGTATCTATATCAGGGCTTCGGAGGCGCATCTGCCCTCGCTTCGCTGCTGTATGTCAGCCGTTTACGCGTGTTATATATGTACGTATCAGTGTATTTTCGGCGTGAACTTGCGGCATGGCATGGTACGGAGGAAGCTACGAATGCACCGGCCTGTCCACGCGCCTGCAGGTTTCTCGGTTGAGCTGCCCTTGGTAATTCCAGTGTACGTCCACCCCAGACTCCCTGAGGCCGAGGGCTGTGCGAACCAGGTAAAGTGTGGCTGTTTTCCCTTGCAAAATCAGCCAAAAGCCCACAGACCTGAGCTTCTCCGGCAGAGAAAGGCATACGCATGCATCCTACACCTACAGTTGATGAAAATTCTGCTGCTTGCACTCCGCCCACATCATGTCCAACCTCTCATGAATAGTGTCAGATAGAATGCCTGCCATGTATGCCACTTCGTACAGCGGCTTCAGCTATCGCAATTCACTCCATCTTCAGTGTGTTAGGAACCAAACAGAGATGCACGCTCCTATTTTTCCCTGACAGATCTGTCGCTATTGAATACTGACTGCCTGCTCCTAAATTTTATTACCTGCAACTCCCTAGTGACAGCTCTTTGTGGTGTAGCCGGGCCATAGTGGGACCAGGGTTTCTGTTCGATTATTTTTGGTGGTCAAGGATCCTTTCGCGGTACTCCACTACTGAATCATGCTTGCACATGAGGTGCACGACATCCGGTTTCTGTGATGCATGACCTGAGATAAGCTCTTCTCGGTTTTCAGTACCTTGAACACCAGCTTCATTACTATTCACTACAGCTCGAGTTGCCTTGGATAACTTTGTGGCAGTAGTATGACAGTCACAGTCTCGCTGGTGGCGGTAGTATGTCATCAGTAGACCGTCTCTCAAGCTTTCTCAGCAGACAGACGGCTGGATGGCATCAACATCGACCAGATGCTGCCTGTTCTCGAGGCAAAGATTGCAGCATTGGATCAGCAGCGCCATGCACCAGACGCTGACGAAGAAGCTTCCAGGAAGTATTTCGACAGTGCATCTATCCCGAAAAGAGCATCAAAACCATGCGCTGTTGGCAGTGCCCTTGGAAATGGCGAGGCCTCTCGTCTGGGAGCGTCTCGTCTTTCTGACCTTTTCTTACTGTTGTTGACCGTGGTTTACAGCGGGGTAGGCGGACCGTAGCCTCCGATAAATAATGTAAATTACAGGGTTTATTTACTCACAGTAGGCCCTGGACTCTCTTACATGTTAACTACACCCCTGAGGACTTTCTGACGCAACACTACTTGAGGCTCAGCGCCCGCTGTGTAAGCGTTAGCACGATCCCGTCTGAAACGCCGCTTCAGCACTCGAAACCGCACCCCTTCAGGTACTCCAGGCTGACTTTCAACGTTTGAGATCTGAGTCGCCGTCAAAGTCAGTCTACAGCCAGACTTTTGGAAACCCTGATGTGTGCGACATTTCCAGTCGCAACGGCCGCAAGTGTGACGAGACACGCCCCGCCTCGCCAAGCTCTGTGCATCATGGTGCACCGCAGAATCATTGCCACGGCGCGCAGGTGCTTGCTGGACAGGCCTGCGATGTATACAAGCCTGCCCGACCGCCGTAGCCAAACCACACATTCCTCGCCTTTCTTCACTCGACGACATCACAGCTCATTAGACCCCACGTTGCTCACACGACCATGCACTTCATCATCTCATCCTTTGTGTTGGCCCTGGCTGCCACGACTGTTGTGTCGATGCCGTCCCCCGCGATCCACCCCGGATTCC